CCACCGTTGATGCTACGCCCCAAGATCTTCCCCACGCTATGGAAGACATGGGTGGCATATGGTTAGCCACATGGTTTCGTGAGACACGATAAAATCCAACCTATCCAACCTCCAAACTTGAAAGAAAAAAACGCCTTTCCAGCAAAACCGATTTTTTTTAAGATGCCAACTCTGCCATGTATTTCTACCAGCACGCAGCCACTCGCAGCCACTCGAGTGGCCGCCAGTGGCTGCAAGTGGCCGCTCCAAGCGAGTGGCCGCAAGTGGCCGCAAGTGGCCTCTCCCAGCGAGTGGCCGCAAGTGGCTGCAAGTGGCCGCAAGTGGCCGCTCCCAGCGAGTGGCCGCAAGTGGCCGCAAGTGGCCGCAAGTGGCCGCTCCCAGCGAGTGGCCGCAAGTGGCCGCAAGCAGCCGCAAGTGGCCGCTCCCAGCGAGTGGCCGCAAGTGGCCGCAAGTGGCCGCAAGTGGCCGCAAGTGGCCGCAAGTGGCCGCTCCCAGCGAGTGGCCGCAAGTGGCCGCAAGTGGCCGCTTTCGGCGATTTCAATTTCCACACTCAAAGCAACCTCCCTGCTATTTCTCTCTTCTACTCTACTCTTCTCTTCTCTCTGGCTCTTCCCATCTCTGCTTTTCATCTGTCCATATTGTCGGAAGTTTGACTTCTAGACTTCCTTCGATAATGTTAATATGATTATATATATATATGGTTAACACATGATATATATATATATATTTGATATTCTGGTTGGTGGTTTGGAACATAACTGGATTATGTTTTCCATGTATTGGGAATTTCATCATCCCAACTGACGAACTCATATTTTTCAGAGGGGTAGGTATACCACCAACCAGCAAGTATATACTTATATACTGGAAATCAATTCCAAATCTGCAGTTTTGAGACTTCAGCTCTTAGTGCTGAAGCTAGTATCCTTTGATTCTTCCGCAGTGGGTCAGCCTGTTCAAGTGTACGCAAGCTGCCCTGTGTTTTGTGGGTTTTCCATAGTCTGTTCAGACTGGTCAGAGATCGTTTCAATTGCGGGGAAGAATGCATGAAGGAGAGCTGTTGGTGTATGAACTCGACCATCAGTTATCCCTTCTTTGTAGAGGCAAAACTGTACAACCGTACATCTCAAATCTTCCCTCAAATCAAACCCATGGTTTTGCCCATTCCTTCTCAACACGGAAGTTAAGTTGAACAGGAAGACTGTATGGAAATTATGGAGCTCTTCTCCATCTTTGGAGGATGAAGCCATTGGTTGACCTCGCCGTCTTAGGCCTTACTGCAGCTCCTGGCGTTGCCTTTGTGGCTTGGCAGGGATCAATCTGTGGCCAGCCAATTCTTTTTTGGCGTAAACTCGGGCAAATTCATTTGTTGAGGGTAACCATCATCAACTACTATATAACCACTGTATAACCACTATTACCCAACCATCATCAACCATCATATAACCATGATTAACTAAACATCATCAACCATTGTATCATCATTACATGGTCGTTATCAAGAACAGATGACCACTGTGGTTTCGCCCACCATCCCCCGAGGCAATGCTTCGGAAAGATCGGCCTCTTGGGTTCCATCTGCACCGCCGGGAAGTTCGCGGACGAGGTGCGCTGGCAACACGAGGCGAATTTAGGAGCGAAGGGCGGCAAAACGGTGATGGGAGAGAAGTGGGATGGATATGGATGGATCATAATCGATTTTGGAATGAGGATTTTCAATTTTCCCCCCAAATATGGTATTACACGATATTTAATGGGTAGGAACTTCCTTCGTATGGTAAAAAATAGTCAATGGGCGCTGGCTTTATTAGTGGCTTTACCATGCTGGAATTATATAAACCCAAAAGATTTGCAACTATAGTTGCCCCATTTATCCAATGACTTCCCATCAGCAGCAGGAGTCCCCAACAGGAAGAGGTTTCCCCAACCCGCGACACGTCACTTCGATCCGACGTGGTCAGGAGGTGATGGGTCTGAACGCGCTGTCAGCGACCTGCTGGTGACGGGCTATTGGATCTTCGTCTTTTTCCTGGGCCCCTGGGCTAAGTGTTTCTGCGGGGTCGGGCGAGTCAAGGGAAGATCTTTGGTGGGATTGTTTAGAAAGTTTGGACAAGCCAATGGAGAATTGTATGCTGTTACAAGGAACTATTGTTGAATATTTTTTGGGGTTTGATCTGCAAACTCCGAGTTTGCATCCGGCAGGGTGGCGGTTGCGGGTTAGGGCATGGAACAAAAAGGCCAGGATGTAGATGTTCAGTTCGGCCACCCAGTGGCCATAGATCAGCTCAGAAATGATAAGTGGTGCCGCCATTGAATCGAGCAGTGGCCTAAGCGAAAGCCTATCGATGAACTGATAGAACCGACCCCCAGAATGCGGGAGATCCATGTAGATCCATGAGCTGCATAGCTTCCAATTGGTGCAAGTTATTTTCTCCATATTGGTGCGACAGAACGGATATTCCATGATATTCCTTTCCTATACATCATGCAAAAAGCATCAAAATTCACCATCCAGCCAGGTAAGAGTCGGATACATGTCTTACACTGTGGGGTCAGGAGGGATAGAGGCCGAACTCGGTGAATGATCGGCCACAGGCCTCAACTGCATCTATCCGGCCCTGCTCATCAGTTGCCTGGACGCTGTCGGGGGAGAGAGATCTCCATCGAGATCCCATGAAATCCTTCACTTTTTGAAGGGTTTGGATAGGTAGACCCTCCAGTTGTGGCAGATTTTGAATGATTTTGATGCCTTTTCACATCTCAAACCCATAGCTGCCATAGCTGTGGAATTGTCGAGGTTTCGGCGAGCATCGCTGGGCCAGCTTTCTGACCGCCTGGTCGGATGCTATCGTTCACCTGTCCTACATCTTGATTTACCTCACCATGAGCTGCTTGGAATTCTGCTTGGAGTTCGGGGTCAACACGCATCGCCAATCTTGCTGGTGGACATGCAAAGAGTTTTTGTTTCTTTTGGTTCTTTTTCATTCCTCATGGGATATCTTGGGATCATGAAGCAAAGTTTTTATCGCCGCTGCCATAGCTCAATCTTTTTTGAGGCCACCACGGTCACCACATTCGGAGGCAACATCTTGGGGCCAGTTTGACGTCCCCTGAGGCTTGATCTCCCTGCACAAGTTGCATTTCAAGGACACGGTGATCTACGTGGGGAGCTTTGGCGGTGAGATGCCAATTCGTCTAAGGCTTCTGAGGTTGCTGAATTCTCCATAGCCTAGCATTTAGTAAGACACACACGCACGCACATACATACACATACACACACACATATATATATATTTATCACACACACACATATTTATTTATTTATATATATATATATATCTAAATATGAATGTAATATACATGCCAAGCATGTATGCAATAGAGACACCCTTGCCATTTTTGATCCTCTCATTTCACGTCTGTCATAGATCCAGTTGTTCGAAAACCGGGTCGTTTTGGCTGAGGAATATGACGATCCAACTTTCCAACGAGTTGAACCCCATCTTCCCTTTCCCAACCACCTTGCTGGGCACCTTGCTGGCACGTTTTTTCGAAAAAAAACACGCGCGCCAGGTCCGCCAGGGCATCCGAACGCACACCGGCGTCATCTAAGCTGGGGAACATCTCCCACTTTCGCGTTGATGTTATGTTATGTACAAAATGATGTGAAACACAGATTTTATGGAAGAGTTTCCCCACTAGGATAGTGATTCCCCATCTTGCAGAGCTTTAAACTGATCACATCAGCAAAAAATGGACCTCCCAGCCATTCAATGAACCTTGGATCAAGTCCTAGATTTGGTTTAAGGGAAATTTTGCAAACAAAACCTAGGTTGGTGGGTAAAAGGACGTTTGTTTCCTCTGCAAATTTTCCGACCAACCCATTGATGAAATTGCTGTTCTTTGGCCGGGCTGACCCTCTCAGGTTACGTCTCCATCTACATCTCCTTGGTGCATGTCTGCTGCGTCTGCCGCGTGTTGGAAGATACCGCGGCCCAGTTTGCCTTGCCGGGGGCCTCAGGGGGCCTCAGGAAACCTCAGCCGACCACTGGCACATGGATGGTTAGAAGATGTTAGAAGTCCTCCAATATAAGGGGTAACTCGGGGTAACCGAAAAACTTGGCATTCTTACCTATACAATGGGGATCAATGGGGTTTATCCCATCGTATCCCCATAGCATCCCCATAATTCGGAAGTTTATAATGTTTATAGTTTTATACCCACAAGTTTTGTTGGTTCAACCCCTCTTTAGACCATTTTTAGAGTTTGGTTGTGTCCTGATGGACATAAATAGGATCCCATTATCAACTCATTATTATTCCATTATCCGCTCATTATTAAAACATGAATTCTTGGATTCCATCTTCCTCATATTTCTTTTGCAATCCTATTATGATCACATTACTATCCATTATTGCTGGTTGAATCCCATTATAATCCCATTAAGTCACCAATCGTTGGTTACAAACTCCTCATTTTTCAATGTTGGTTATGCATCCCATTGTAATCTCTTTGACTTTTTTTTACCCCCATAAAACGGTGTTAATGTGATATTCCTATTACAATCCTATTTAAAATCCAGTGATCATCCCAATTACAATGCCATGAAACCCAGGAAGAGCGCGGAGGAGCGCGGCTTTGAGCGTTCGATGTCCAGTACGAGTCTGCTAACGTCACGACGTTTGGTCTCCATTGCGTCCTTGTTCCAAGGCGGGGGCTGTACCAAAGAAAGGAACATTGCGAAATGCTACACAAGCCTGAAATGGAAATGTTATGGACATATATGTATAATTATGTATATATATATATATGTATATCTATATGCACATATATTTCTATATATCTATATATCTATATATATATATATTGGACACACACACACATATATATATATATGTACATATACACATATACATATGCCTGTAGATGTACAATATAGATTCACAGACTGTCTCTCTCTTTTCTCTCCTCTCTCTCTCTCTCTCTCTGACCATCCCAGGGGTACGCAAGCGCACGCGCTTCCTGTTGTCCTTGCTGTACTTCATGGTGATGGTGGGGATTGTGATGTTGGCCGTGGCCAATCAGCAGCTTGGAAGAATAGGAATTTTTCATGATGGGAATTTCATGATGGTTTAATCAAGAAGATTTATCATGATTTATCCATGTTTAGTGGGATTAATTTGTGGTAATGGGGTTTAACATGGACTTAATGGGATTTATTGAGATTTAATGGGAGTTAACCATGACAAAAAACAATGGAAACAGTGACCATGCGAATTATAGATATATTTCTGAACTTCATGGAATTCTAAGGTTTGGCATGTGGATTTCAAAGTCAGTGTAGATTGCATCACCGCGATTGTTGGGTTATCCCGGTATTCTGCTTCCATGACTTTAAGGCATGGCTACCCCAAGCAGGCTATGGACACCCGCTGCTACCCCTGTTTGTGCAGCAATGGCCAGATGCACCTTGACCTTGTGGTCTCGGGATCCCAATCTCTTTGTGACTGGTTTCCTCCAACATGCGACCCTGGGATGAGCTCAGCCTCGGAATGTCAACCCGGGATGACTGACTAATTTGCTACAAAACGGTGGTACCTTTCAATGATCAAACAGCGGTATGCTAGGGGTTTGCTAGGGGTTTAGTGAAAAAAAGGGTTGACGTTGCTCCGGAAAATCAGCATGTTCAGGTTCCATGCATTCTTTCAAGTTATCATATCACCTCAAGTGGTACTATTTGGCGGATGGGTACCGTTGTTGTATCCCAATGCTGACTTAGTGGGTACCAACCACCATCGTTGGAGATCCAGGTGATTTTAGCACACAGCAGGGTTGCTCAAAGACATTATAGGCAAATGATAGCAAAAAAAGGTGGGGAAACCGTGAAACGGGCCATTTTGCCTCTTGATTTGCTCATATTTGCTCAGTTTCTCAGCTTACATTTGGTGTGTTGGGAGCAACTCTGCTAACCAGGCTGATTAATCATGGTTCATCACCATTTTTATTCATTTTCCAATATTTCCCTATGATTTGTTCTATCTGTTAACCAAATTATAGCATATTATATCCCAATTTGGATTCCATAGTGAGCAGTTGATATCCCAACGGGTACTACTCCACCGCAGTGTAACCATGTTAATCATTGTTATATAATCATTCTTAATCATTCTTAATCACGATAGTTTACCATAAATTGTTTTTGTTTTCCCAATATTTTCTCAAAATTTCTGTATCGATTTGTCATATTCCGACATACTATACGTACAACAACTCACCATGTTTGGGATATCCCCACAATATTGTAATATCAATTTTCAGCAAATTTTCATAAACTCTCCGTATCCCTGCTAGTCCCCTTCCCCTTCATACTACACCCACCCCAGAAACCAAGGTTTAGCAGGGGATTTGCACTTATTTGGGTCCATCTATGGGGTGTTTAATATTAGGGAGATGTGATGGGATCAACATTGTCTGTTTTCCCAATCTTTTCTCAAGTTTTCCGTTTTATAATCGTCGTGACAAATATCATGGTTGTTAAGTTTCCCAATTACTTCCCAATATTTTCCAACATTTTATATTGACTCTCTGTATCCCAATTACTTTTTTGAATTATGGGTAAACAATGATTTCCCATAAGTGACTTACAACAGTCTCCCAAATTTACCAATATTCTCCTAAGTTTTTTTTTAAACGCCCATTTTCCTAAGTACTTCCTAGAAACAATGGGATTGATAATGGTTAATAGTCACTAGAATCAGTATTTTCCCAACATTTCCCAACATTTTATATTGATTCTCTGTATCCCTAGTATACTTGTCATATCCCAATTCCTTTGCCAAGGCCTGGCACCCTGCGTCTGGAAAGTTGTTGGTTGGCCTCCACCCTGCGTAGCTCGGAACAGGGATTTTGCTGGGGAATTCATGGGACTTTCATGGGAATTTCTGGGAATATGATGGTTAATGATGGCTAACACTTGTTTCTTTAATAGTGATTACTGGTTGCACATGGTGAATGGTTAAAACATGGTTAACAATATAGTGATACATGGTTTTTTTTGGTGGAATTCACATCCGATGTCCTCAGCATTGCATCCTGAAAGGGCTAAAATCCGGCCGCAGGTGTCCTTAAATGTTTGCTTCCAAAAGAAATTCATTTCAAGAATGGGATCATGTGCATTCATGTCCATTCAAATCCATTAGAATCCATAAAAGTCCATTAAAGAACTACTTCCCCATCTTTTTGTTCAACCTCTCCATTTGGAAACACCGCCAGGTTTCAAGTATTTGAACCTGGCGAACCGGGGAATCAGCCACTTGGCCGAGACAGTCGAACTGGCTGGACACTTAAGAAGTGGCTATTGATGGCTCTTGGCTATTGGTCCGTAGATATCCAATCATGGTTAATACTGCTTCATAATGGTTAATAATTAAGGGGATATTTAAATATATTAACTTTTATGGGATATTATGCACCATTATTAACCCCTTAATGGATTAAGCTCATAGACATACTAATGGTTAATTAATGGTTAACTATGAACCCTCCCGAGCTGGGCCCCAGAGATGAAGTGAAGACCCAACAAGCCGCTTTGTTTCATGTTAGGCAACTGGACACCCCAAAAACAAAGACACTAAGACCATCTCAAAACCAGAGTCTCCCCCGACTTCCATGATGTTTCCCATGATTTCAACTTATTTTCCATGATTTTCCCAGGATTTTCCGATTTTCCAATCCATTTGAAGCAATGATTTCCAAGGTGAGTTGGAGCCACGCGCCATGCATCCCCTGGGTGAAGATTTGCTGATTCTATCCTTGGCTTCCAACAACCTGCAGAACTTGCCCCCGGGCTTCTTCGGAGGTGCGAGCTTTCAGGGCCTTTCAGGGCAGGAGATGTCGAGGTTTTTGAGGGAAAAATGCAGCACTTGGGTGGTTCAACTATGTTCAACTTGTATTTAGGAGGTCTGGGGGAGGGTTGAAGAACTTGGGGATGGTTGATTTTTTTTGGAACTCCGCTGGAGGTTGAGGACAAGTATGCCACTTCCCCAGTTCCCTTGGTCAGTTGGAATCGCTACAGCGTCAAGACATAGGAAGGGTTCTCATGGTTTGGTACCAGCTCCCAAAATGCTTTGGATTAAATGCGGAACTATCAACAAATGCTTTGGATGTTGAAAAGATATCAAAAAACACCGATTGATCAAACAGGGAAGTCATCTCCAGAGCCGGATAGCCACATGGGCCAGGACTTCGGGAGGCGCGACTGCTTGATTTGAGCCATTGTACTTTGGGCTGCAAGAACTCGGAGGCTGCAATGGTTGTATGAAACAAATCCATGGAGTATATTCAACTGGATGATGATGATGATGATGATGAGGAGGAGGAGGAGGAGGACGATACGCCCAAGCCGATAAAGTCTTAGCGGTCAATGGGATAGGATCCCTCCAAGTCAGGTTTTGCCCAGGTATGCTGCAAGACCTGAATCGCGGCCACTTCGAAGGTCTAGTGTGCCTTGGTTGGATGTTGAGTGGCTGAGGGAAGTCTGGAGGATCATTCCACTTAAAAAACTGGTTGGTAACCATGGTTAGCACGTCTCCATTCAGTGGATCATCCCATCTATAAATGGATGAACTACTAACTATTTTCTCACCAGTTCCTTTCTAATCAGGCTTACGAACACTATGGTCCCATCTAGAAATGAGTTATACCGTTATACCATGTTATACCATCTTATACCGATAGATGGGATATAGATATACCATGATATCTATGTCATACCATGTTATACCGATAGTTATACCATGTTATACCATGTTATACCATGATAGCTATGGTATCCTCTGGTTATTCACCACTTGGATCCGTGTCGATCCTTGGATCCTCCAAGGCAAGTGGGCTCGCTGTCCTTGAGTGGCAACCACATCCGCCAGCTGCCGCCGGATGTCTTCGAACCCATGCCCCAGCTGAAACAGGCGGCCGGGTTCGATCCATCCGTGGTGATGATGGTTTTTACCATCAAACATAGGGGCTTTATCATCGATCAAATCGTGTTTAACCATCAAAACACGGGCTCAAGCGTCAGACAGAGAGAAAGACAGAGAGATGTTTAACGATCGAAAAAAGGGTTTGAAGCAGCGAAAACCAGGTTTAATCATCAACATTAAAGAGTAAATGCACATCGAAAATGCTTCGTTAACAATCAACACTGGTGGTTTAAGCATCATTTTGGCATAAAATGGCCTAATCCTCATGGAATGGTAGCCACCCAGATGCCACCAAAATCAACAGATCCAGCGGGGACAACATGGTGACATGTACCATGGGTGGACATTGGGTGAACCCGGAACAGGATTAATCTGACATAATCTGACTGACCCACAAAAACCAAAGCAATCTCACCCCACGTCCCAGATACTGCTGGGTGGCGAGCGTCGGAATGTGGGTGATGAAGAGTGCCGTGGCCAGAAATGGCAGCATTGGTGACCGAAACTGGACCCGCTCTGCCAGCTACTGGGGATCCAATGCGACCTACCCAAAACATCCCAACAGCATAAAACATTGGCATAGCGTGGAGCTAAGTGGCCTTTTCTCCTGCCTTGGAAATCCTAATGACCTCATTGGATGGCGTTTGAAGAAGCGTTTGAAGATCGTTTCAAGATAGTAGGAATTAATGATCTTCAAACGCTTCTTGGTCGATGTTCTTGATCTACATTTACAAGGATGATTGTAATTCATAATCAAATGAGTCAAATTGTAATCATTGCAATCATCCTTTTGGCGCGCAGCGTCGCCATCCCTGGTCCCTGTGCTGAATCTCCAGGCTTTTGGTGCTGGGGAATCTGCTTTCAGAGCTTCCCGCTGGCATTTTTAAGGCGACCTGGCTTCAACTGGAGGTCAACTGGCTCGAAACATGTCCATTTCTGCCATTTCTGGGATGCGACTGCAACCTGGCATAAAGGTCTAGAAAATAGCTACCGACCTACATGTTGCAATTACACACCAATGTGATGTGACTCTCTCTCTCTCTCTATATATATTATATACAATATAAAGTAAAGTAAAAGTATACGTATATGTATATATATATATATATATGTCTGGATTATATGTATAATATTTTTTTTTAAAAAATAAATAGTATTTATAGCGTGGGTATATGCATATAACTGATAGTTTGATATATATATATATTGCGGGTATTTCATCATGTATATGTATATGCGTATATGTGCATATGTAGTGGCGCCCCCCACTGTGGCTACCCTTAGGACCTCCAATGGCTGGTGCGGGTGGACATCAGCCAAAACCGCTCCTGGGCTGCCTGGGCTGCGCAACTCACATCGTGTTTTATTGTTACCCTCTGGTAAACTAACATAGCCATGGAAAATCAGCATTTTTAATAGGTACCGACCATTTTATAGCTAGGTAAACCATCTATTTCTGTGGGCCATGGCTTCCACGGGGAATTGTTAAATAACCAGATGGTATGACATATGATGTGTATTATTGCTGCATATCCCCACAAACTATGGCCCGCAAAATGCTACAGTACCTCCACTTTAGGGTCCTGAATTGCCCATTGATATCCCATCATATATCCATCATTTATCCATCATATACAGTATCAATTAAAAAAGGCTACTAATAGTAAATATTCCATCATATTTCTAATACATAATATCACATAGAGCTATTCTGTATTTGATATGGTACTGTATAAATATTGTTGCCAAATATCTTACTAGAAAAGAGTGGATCATAGAAATTACTAATACCAACATATTGGGATAATTGTTGTAATAGTGCAAACTACATGGGAAGTATTAATATTCCACTGGAATTATTTATTATTATTATTTGTTATTTATGATTATTTATAGTATTTTCTGTTAATATTTAGAAATACCATTATTTATGGTGAGTATAACATCCCACTTTAATGATATATACCATTATATACACCATGATACCATTGATTATTATACACATATTCCATTTAATATTTATACAATTATTTATTGTTAGTGGTACTATATATATATACACCATATATACCATATATACCATTATTATGGTACTATAAATAATGTTGGTCTCTGATTAGTAGCTAGGTTCGCTATTAATAATTTTTGACTTTCCACTTTAAAGCGAGTCCAGATATTGTTTAGAGGGGGGGGGCCTCACACTAGTCAGGAACCAACATTATCCCACATTCGAAAAGAAGAACTTCCCATGGCAAAAACCGAGGCCTGTCATCCGTGCCGCGGGGCGTTTTCGAGTCCTTGCCACGCCTGGCGCAAATTGAGCTGCGCGACAACTTGCTGCAGGCAGCAGGGCATGGGAAATCCATGGGAAATATGGTGAATATATGGGATTACTCATATGATGATATGGATTTTCTGGGAAATTTCTGGGGAGTATGTATATATATATATATTACATAAATATATATATATATATAGAAAATTGTATGATAATCTGGATTAATGATGGAATATCGCAGCCGTTTTTATGGGAAATATGTGGAGAACCCGCAACATGTATGGAACATAGCGATTTAACTATCACTGACCACCATTTTAGAATAGGATGAGTTACTATGGGCCAGCTATACCATGGCGAACTGTTAGTCATAACCAGAGGGTAATCTTATTGGAATAGAATCCTAATAATCCGAGTAGTCATCCTATCATAATACCTCTATAAATGGGCCATCTATACCATGGCGAACTGTTAGTCACAACCAGGCCGGGTAAATAGATGGTTTTACCATTCAAACGCTGCAGGAGATCGACTCAGAGGTGGGGCGTGATTGGTGATTTGGTGATTGACGGCGGAGAGTGGTCAGATGTTGTCGCCAAGAGGTGGTTCGAACGTTGGTAGAGCCATGGAATCCCACCCATATTTAACATGGAATCCCAGCCATAAAAATGGTCAAATTGGGATAGTGCATCCAATTGCTTTACTGAGGTTATAACGTTCTATAACAAGCACCTCTGGATTTTTGACATCGCATGTTGTCATGACAAAAAGGGAGGGAGAGCATAGATTCTTACAGATTCGGTTGAGGTCCCGCCTCTCCAAACTGGGTGTTGGGACTCTGAAATGGGGACAGAAATGTAGCTTTTCTCTGAAGCGCTTTGCTGGGGTGAAGTTGGTGGTCTTGGTGCCATTGCGGATTGGTCACTGGCACTAGTCACTGGCTTGATGGTCTTGGGAACAATTGCGAAAACTCATGGATTCCACCATCCAATTTCTTCCACAGCTGTCAATTTTTCATCAATTTGATATTCGATAATCCAACTCTGAGTTTTTGGATTTATGCACATCAGATCTCATAGATCTATCATTAATCATATATCCGTGAACATCTCTTCCGCCCATCGCAGATCTTCATCGACCTCCCCTCCTTGGCCAACCTATCCCTGGAGAACAACGTCCTGAGGCACAGATGACCTCGGATCCCCAGCGGAAGTGGCCAGAAATTGGCGGGAAACATCTTGGACCATTTAGCTGGATGCGTAACATCAAATCATATCTGACACCTCACCAAAAAGTTGAAATTGGTTGATTCAATTGGGAATGTTCAACCATTTTTTGATGGCGAACTCCTTCGTGTTTGCTGGGGTCATTCAATTTTTGGCAGGTGAAACCATGTCAACTGCCATCAAATATCAGTTTTCAATGGAATTCACCTCAAAATGTCTCGCCATTTTTCGGTGGCCTGGCACGCCACACGCCAGGCGCATCGAGCCCGGCGCTTTCAGCAAGGTGCCATCGCTGAGGCGCTTGGATCTGGCGCGGAATCAGTTGGAGGGGATGCTGTCCGTGGCTGCGGCGACAGGCGATGCCTGGGGATGGGGAACACATGGGAACACCGGGGTTGAAATCATGGGATTTTGACCACCCAACTGGTGCAGGATTTCTTCCACCGTATGGTTAGTATAAGGGGTTGAGGGTTGCGAAGGCCGAAGTTTTTAGGATGAGTGAAGGGTAGTGAGGTATGAGAATTTACATATCCAGATCAATGTTTTTAGGGCATTTGGTGATGAGAAATTAAAGGTTTTAATAAGCTTAACCATCCTGAAATGGGGATATATAGGAGATCCAATACTAAACCAAGGTTTTGTTTCGGGGATATTGCGGGGGGAAGGGATTGCTTGAATCTTTTGCAGTCCATTGGGGTATAGATCGATATACCAACCTGACCAGCAAAAAACGCACACACTTATTTGCAGGGTGTGTCTAGGATTGGCCATGGGTCAGGGGGCTTTTTTTTTTAAAGATTCTGAACCTAAATGGTGTTGGAAAGGACGTGGTTGGAAACTGTTAAGCAAATGGATGAATAACATGTTTCTGGGCTTGGGAGGCTAAGGGGGTTCTCAAGTTTTTGTTTCCCCCGGAAAGTGTCTTGGCAGACATGGATCATATGAATTTGGTTGGCTGTGGTGTCTCTGTGTAAGGCGCGAGTCTAAGGCACGTCTTTTGCCAAGGCGCGCCGTAAAACGGTAAAACCGTAAAACGGTAAATTCGTAAATTTACGATCTGAGCGTGCCGCTTTCGGAGCGTAAAACCGTAAATTTGGTAAATTTGCAAAATTTTCTGTAAACAAAACTTACCGTAAAACCGTAAATTGGTAAATTTGGTAAATTAGTAAATTGGTAAAGTTAGATTAAAATTTACAGATTTACCGATTTACCGAATTTACCCTTGCCCGGACACAGCAAAAATTACTACTTTACCAATTTACCAAATTTACCATGGCCTGAAGAGCGGTGAAATTTACCAGTTTACCGATTTACCAAATTTATCGCATGCAACCGAAGTCAAGCCGCAAATTCATGTTCTGTGTGCAAAGCGTGGGCAGGAAAAGGTAGTAAAGCCGTAAAAGCGTAAAACCGTAAAGGAGGTGTGGAAGCGAAGGAAACCAAAGTAAAACCGTAAAGTGGTAAATTTATGTTTTTTCGTGGACAGCGTGAACAGGAGAAGACGGTAAAGCCGTAAAATGGTAAATGCGTAAAGGCGCAAGGGAAGAGGCGGTAAAACCGTAAAATGGTAGATTCGTAAAGTTGTATCATGATAAAACAAAATTAAAATTTACAGATTTACCGATTTACCGAATTTACCTTTGCCCGGGCACAGCAAAATTTACCACTTTGCCGATTTACCAATTTACCACGGCCCGAAGAGCGGCGAATTTTACCAATTTACCGATTTACCAAATTTGCCATTGCCCGGAGAGCGTTCTCTCCTTAGCATCATGCCTTACACAGTGACGGCTTAGAATTCTGTAGAATTGGTTGGGCACCCTGAAAGTTTGGAATCAAGTTGGGTCCATGCCAAGGCCTTGGCAACTTGGAACAGCTGAACCTGTCGCGGAACCACTTGCAGGGTATCGAGTCAGGCCCAAATCCGTGGGCTCCTGGAGGGGTGATGCGAAATGCATCTTGGTTGGATAAATGCAAATGGAATTTTTCTTGGCCTGGAAGAGGTATGTATGCCATTGTATGCCCAAGATGAGCAGAAACACCACAGAAACTAAAGGATCTAAAGGTGCCTATGGTCCTATGGGGTTCAGTGCCAAGGTGGAGGAAGTGTTTCGCCAGAAATTTTTTGTTTTAGACGACGTCTGACAAATGCAGGCCTGGAGAAGGGTGTATCTTTGCCAAGCAGGTTCCTGAAAAAAGCTAGAGATGTTGATCCAGCCTTGACCACACAGAACCTCTAGTGGGACCCCATATTGTGGAAGTTTTTCTTTTTAATATACTCGTTACAGATGCCAAACATTCAGTATATTCAGTTATGACACAGTTGTACATTTGAAGAAGTAAACTATATACGACAATTAGAACGCATCTGAATTTACGTCTAATAAGTTTTTTTTCATCTAATGGAATCTAATGTGCCATATTGTTATTGTTGATATTTGTTGATATAACAAAGTAATGCGGTAAACCCAATCATGAAAAGCATCGCTTCGCGCTGTCGCAGGCGCCTTGGCCCTGCTAAGGCGCCTGCGAGTTCTGGATTTGTCCAGCAACGAGCTCAGGCCTCGTTTTTCAACGTTGGAACACCAGTGCCATAAACCAGCCATCAGGGTATCCAGGAGCTACTTTTCATGGCTATTTTTATGGGGATGATGCTATAAAGGATGATGAACGAAGCTATTTATGCGATAAGGATGATAATCTATTTATACTAGCTGGTTTTATTGGGGTTACTACAGTAGCCCATAAGTAGAGAAGTCTATCAGCCAACGAGTCTTGATCTTTTTCGTCACGGGCCCCGGGGCTATTTTTCCATGGCCCATGTGGAACTGGAGGATTTCAAGGGATGAGTAAACCATCTATTTCGATTAGGGCCATCGAAAAACCATGGCGAAGTGTGGAAAAAAGTCACCAGAGGCTACTGCGAAGTATTCCGAATCATATTCTGATGATTTTGCATTGCCTTATCTAGAAGAAATTCCTAGTTTTGGCAAGCCTTTCCCGACAGTAGGACATACCCCTCAACGAGACCCGGTTATCTTTTTGTTTGGGTCCCTTGATCTAAATGCTGGAGGTAATCATTTGACGTTTGATATCATATTCACGATGTGTCCCCACTTCAATACGGTTTGTCTCATATCAAGCCTTTAATGTGGTCAACCCAATGATAAACCATCCCCAATATTGCTACGAAGGTGTGGGGCAACAAATCACTCCCAACTGGTTGGTTTGCTCTTGGTTTACAACATATATATTTCGCTGATCCATCAATTATCGATCAATCATCCACGCTTGTTAGTTATACCCCCATGATCAGGCAATGATTGACTTTTACTTACAGTAACCATTGCAAGCAACCTTATAATAATGATTAACCATAATATACTATAAAATAGTGAGTAACATAACCATAACAATGACATAACTATAAAATCATAATTATCAATAATTAACCATGACGTATCATTAAGTTAACCACTAAATAACCATCAATTAGCCACCAACATATTGGTGGGTCGCCAGGAACTCCTCCTGGGCCGCCGTGGGGCTCCACTACTTGACCTCCTTGGAGGTGCTGTTCTACGTTAAAAAAGCAGAGGGTCATAGTCATGTTGATAGTAGAGAACAGCTAATTTAATAAATGGTGCAGTTCCACTACTTATTATTTGTTTGTTTAATTTGATAATCATTAAATTAAACAAAGCCGCAGTTCCACCTTGTGTAAAATCGGGTGGACAATGAAGAACATCCTTTTGATTTCTTGCTTCAATTGCCATATTTTCGCGGGTTGAATCGCCCACTGTTTGCACATGTTTGCACATTTGATGGGTAAATGGTGCACATCTTTGACCCTGAAATCCCCCAGTTGTTGCTTACAAGCCTCTCTCAGTTTTTCCAACATTCAATTCTTTCCTGACCAAAAATCATAGCCCACCAATTGGACCAACTCCCAATCTTCTTGGGATTTCTTGTTTTTTTTTCACGGGTTGAAGCACCCCAAAAAACGCCCCATTTTTCACGGGTGCTTCGAAGTCCCCAGGTGCTGTGCCTGGCGGAGGTGTACCTTCCCACGCTGCCGCCCTTGCCCAGCTCCCTCCGCCGCTTGGAGTTGCAAGGCGCGGGGAGGAACACCCTGGTGGAAAACCTAGAAGTGAGAATCTTGGTATAACTTGGACTCAGAAAACATATGAAAACATATAAAAACATATGAAAACATATGAAACCATCTGTTTTTGATGTTTGATGGATTTGTTGATGGTTTCCAGCAAATGGAATGGGGATTGAAGCAACTTGAACCAGCAAACTATGTGGAATCTGAGCGACAAAAAGGAGGACAGGAGTGAGGACATGACCGACCCACAGGTTTTTCCATTAAAGAAATGACGTGTGGAAGGAAAGTAACAAGAGCTGCGATCTGAGAACATTTGTACTCTTATCAGTGAAGAAGTGTTTGTAGCCCAGGTACCTCAACATCAATGAACATCAACCGTGAAAACACAGGTTTAACCGTGAAAAGTAAGTTCCCCCAAGCCCATGGTGTATCATCACTTTCCCATGCAAAAGATGGACATTTCATGGGTGAACCTGGTCACAGGCAGCCGCTTGCGGAATCTTAGTGGCCGCCTGGCTGGGAAAGTGCGGTGAACAGTGGAGCAATGTGATGTTTGTTTGTTTTTTAAAGGCGCCCTGGAGTTTTTTTCTTGGTTACCCACTTGTATTCCCAGCTATGATCACCTCTAAACACATTTAATGCTCCCAAACGAAACCCTGGTTTCGTCTTGGACCTGGGAACCCAAACGGGCCCAGACTTGCGGGGCCCATGATCCCCCCAGATCCTCCGAGGTTCAGCTTTCCACAACCTGAAGCAACTCGAGACACTGCAACTGCAGCAGAATTTTCTAGGGCCCAGGACTGGAGTTTGGGACCTCTGTCATGATTGTATGGTTTTTCATGGCGCTTCAGTGGAGTCACTCTAGGTTTTGTGACGTGAAAAATGTCTAAAAATGTCACGAGTTGGCATCCCTTAAAACCGGTGAAGATGTTGTAGGCCCCTGGGTGTCACTGGCCCCTTTTGGGAACATCCCATTGGGAGATCCCGACCGCAGTTTGCCGCTGACGCTCTTCCGCGACCTCGAAGCGCTTCGCACTCTGAAGCTCGGCTCCTCGGCAAAGCATTGCAAGGTAGTCGGCTGCAAGGTGCTTGAGGCGCTTGAGGGTAAGTGTTGATCCAACTCTATATTTATTTATTTATATATATATATATACACATTATATATACATATATCAACTATGAAGGACCCTGAAATCCATTTGCCCCCCCCGGGCATGCCGTGGAATCCCGGAACACGAGCCTTTGTCCTCGGGGCATGCAAAACAAAATTTAACCCATTCACACTGTCAAGTTGTGTTACCCTCCGGTAATCAATGGAAATCACCCATTGTGAGGATTTTCCCATAAACACCTCCATTTGCAGATATTGTTAGGGATTTACCAGCCATGTTTGATCATATTTGATCACCCGAAGGGGTGATGCCATAGGTCGGAACCAACTGAAAGACCTGGAGCCTACCCATTTCCAGGGCTGTGAGAACTTGGATGCTCGGTGGCGGCTAAGGGGCCAAGGTGGTTCTCCCGTTGGGTGTAAAAACGGATTTGTCTGCTATGGTTGGGCATATGATTCACATTGGGTTATATGAGTTATATGAGTTGTATGAGTTATATGTGGATTATAAGTCATAAGTCATCAGTTGAATGAGTCATATGTCATATGCTATATGGATCTATATGGCACATGTCTATTTTTCACCGTGTTTTTTTGGTCAAATCACAGGTGATGGTTGACCCATGGAGAGGCTGCCTTTGACTGTGCCGGGCCCCAGGAGACCTTGGATCTGTCGGAGAATTTCCTGTCCAACTTGAGCGCTGGCACGTGGCTCGGTGGGAAACAGCCGCTGAAGACCATGACATATATATAATCCCCCTTATAATATTCCTTATTAAATGGCGCCACCCGGGTGGCGCCATTCATTTCTTATTGAGTGCCGCCCCCAGGGTTAAAATCAAACGTGAAATTGCTTATAAAATGGTGTCTTTTGCAATAACGGGTCTGGGAAGATCCCTACTGGGAACTGTCATTTTATAAACCGCCCCTTTTTCTGGGGGCTATAAAATGGCAAACCCCGGTATCTCCTCAGGAGAAAACATGGGGGGCGGGGTCAGCATAAAAAATATATATTTGTATATATTTTTACTACATGTTGGGGTTATAAAATCATGGTTCCTTTTAAACTTGTCATGTATAGACTCTAGTTGTCATTTAATAACATTTGGAGAACATTGCCTTATAAAATGATGGTTCGGAATGCTTGTAATGGAGCGGCGGACTGTCATTTTGTAAGAAACTATAAAGTTTGAGTTTGCGGCCATCAAATCTGTTGTTGTGGATTCCAGCATGACACAAAGCGGGGGGGGGAGCGGGTTAGGGTTAGTTAATGTTTATTTAGGGTCTGCTTGGGGTTTATGCGGGGTTGGTTCAGGGTTTGTTCATGATCTACTCAGGGCTGGTTTAGAGCTTATTCAGGATAGGTTTGGAGCTTTTTGGATTTATTTAATTAAGCGTGCTTTCGGGTTGGCAAGCAACGCCGTGAGGAGAGACCAGGCGGAACCACGGCACCTTACTTTCTTCACGCCTCTGCTTTAGTTTCGCAGCTCTTTAAAGTGCAAAACGAAAGAAAGCACAACGTGCACGGAAGAGAAACAAACCAGCTTGTGGCGACCCATGGCGGGGTGACTCATAAGCATGCTCCGTGCAAAGGCCCTTCAACAAAATTCCTTGGAAATGACAGTACAGTATGTAGATGACCATAACTATCCATCACCATCCCACCACTGCCACAGGGCGAGACTGACGGCGCGCAAAGCGCTCTTATAAAATGACAATTCACACGCTGCAAGATGCCTTTACATCTTGGGACAAGCATTTCATAAGGCATTCTCCTCGCCAACGTGTCCCCGACGCACCCCCAGCAAAAATTGAAAGAGCACATTGGATAATGTCAGCTTTCTTTGGCTGTGATGCTGTGGTTGTTGAAGAGAGGTTTCTGCACCCGGCCCTCGCCTTCTTTTGTTTAGCTTCCTCCCATGAGCACTATTGCTCAATGACGATATCCATCCAGCGCCGTTGCTCAATGACGATCTCCATCCAGCGGTTCTTGCTACAATATTCATCAGTATTTTTGCACCTGGTTCTTTATGTTCCTGTTGTCTCTCATTGATGTTTGCTGTTTTGTGCTTGTGAAGTCTAGCTTGCGGGCGTGTGTGGCAGGTTGCTGTCATCTTCTGTGGCATTTTTTCTGTGTCTGCTCGTATGCATGCTGTCTTTCTCCGCGCCTTCGCCACCTTCTTGAGTTCCCCCGTTCTTTCCCAAATACAAAACGAAAGGAAAGATAACATGCACAGCCACCACAGAAACAAACCAACTTGGAGCAAGCCAGAGTCAGCCAGAGAAGCCCCAGCGAAAATAAAGCATCCTTTTCAGCGGACTTGCGTTCTCCTTGCCATACGCCGTTCAGCAAGAATATCAGACAACACCATGTAGAGCACCATCATCAGACACCATCCATCAGCATCCAACACCTGCTACAGGCCGAGACTGAAGGTGCACGAAAAACAGCCACAAATGAAGACTCACATGCCGCTACACGCAGCACACCCTGGGACTCGCAACTCAGAGGTCTGCCCTTGGCCATTGCGTGCAGAATGAGCTCCACAGGGAAACAAAGAAGAACATACATCAGCAGTACATCAGATAACATCTGTCTTTTGACTTTTAATGCTGTGCTTGTTCGCAAGAGGTTTTGTCATTTTCTTGATTTTGGCCTGTATTTCTTTTCCATTTTTGATGCTGTTCAATGCTTTTCTGTTCGTGGCTGCTCCTTTTCATACATGTTCCGTCAGTTCTTGACCTGTGTGTGAATTTTTCTGTTGTCGCTCAGGCGTTCCTTGCACTGTTTTTTATGAAGACAAGAGTGCGCACATGTGAGGCGCGGTTGCTTTCATCTCAGAGGGCTTGTTTCCTCATGCGCTGCCATGCATGCAGCGTTTCAGCGCCTTCTTCAGGCCTCTGCTTTAGTTTCCTAGCTCTTTAAAGTACACAACGAAAGGAAGCACAACGCGCAAGGCAAACAGAAACAAACCAGCTTGTGGCGACCCATGGGGGAGTGACTCATAAGCATGCTCCGTGCAAAGGCCCTTCAACAAAATTCTTTGGCAATGACAGTATGTAGATGACCATGACCATCCATCACCATCCCACCACTGCCACAGGGCGAGACTGACGGCGCGCAAAGCGCTCTTATGAAATGACAATTCACACGCTGCAAGATGCCTTTACATCTTGGGACAAGCATTTCATAAGGCATTCTCCTCGCCAACGTGTCCCCGACGCACCCCTAGCAAAAATTGAAAGAGCACATTGGATAATGTCAGCTTTCTTTGGCTGTGATGCTGTGGTTGTTGAAGAGAGGTTTCGGCACCCTTCCTCGCCTTCTTTTGTTTGGCTTCCTCCCATGAGCACCATTGCTCAATGACGATATCCATCCAGCGCCGGTGCTCAAAGACTATCTCCATCCAGCGGTTCTTGCCTCAATATTCATCAGTATTTTTGCACCTGGTTCTTTATGTTCCTGCTGTCGCTCATTGATGCCTGCTGCCTTGTACTTGTGATGGCTAGCTTGCGGGCGTGTGTGGCAGGTTGCTGTCATCTTCTGTGGCATTTTTTCTGTGTCTGCTCGTATGCATGCTGTCTTTCTCCGCGCCTTCGCCACCTTCTCGCTTGAGTTTCCCCGTTCTTTGCCAAGTACCAAACGAAAGGAAAGATAACATGCACAGCCACCACAGAAACAAACCAACTTGGCGCAAGCCAGAGTCAGCCAGAGAAGCCCCAGTGAAAGTAAAGCATCCTTTTCAGCGGACTTGCGTTCTCCTTGCCATACGCCGTTCAGCAAGAATATCAGACAACACAATGTAGAGCACCATCATCAGACACCATCCATCAGCATCCAACATCTGCCACAGGCCGAGACTGAAGGTGCACGAAGCACAACCATAAATGAAGGCCCACATGCCGCTACACGCAGCACACCCTGGGACTCGCAACTCAGAGGTTTGCCCTTGGCCATTGCGTGCAGAATGAGCTCCACAAGGACAGATAACATCTGTCTTTTTACTTTTAATGCTGTGCTTCTTCGCAAGAGGTTTTGTCATTTTCTTGATTTTGGCCTGTATTTCTTTTCCATTTTTGATGCTGTTCAATGCTTTTCGGTTAGTGGCTGCTCATTTTCATACATGTTCCGTCAGTTCTTGACCTGTGTGTGAATTTTTCTGTTGTCGCTCAGGCGTTCCTTGCACTGTTTTTTATGAAGACAAGAGTGCGCACATGTGAGGCGCGGTTGCTTTCATCTCAGAGGGCTTGTTTCCTCATGCGCTGCCATGCATGCAGCGTTTCAGCGCCTTCTTCAGGCCTCTGCTTTAGTTTCCTAGCTCTTTAAAGTACACAACGAAAGGAAGCACAACGCGCAAGGCAAACAGAAACAAACCAGCTTGTGGTGACCCATGGCGGAGTGACTCATAAGCATGCTCCGTGCAAAGGCCCTTCAACAAAATTCGTTGGAAATGACAGTATGTAGATGACCATGACCATCCATCACCGTCCCACCACTGCCACAGGGCGAGACTGACGGCGCGCAAAGCGCCCTTATAAAATGAAAATTCACACGCTGCAAGATGCCTTTACATCTTGGGACAAGCATTTCATAAGGCATTCTCCTCGCCAACGTGTCCCCGACGCACCCCCAGCAAAAATTGAAAGAGCACATTGGATACTGTCAGCTCTCTTTGGCTGTGATGCTGTGGTTGTTGAAGAGAGGTTTCTGCACCCGGCCCTCGCCTTCTTTTGTTTGGCTTCCTCCAATGAGCGCCATTGCTCAATGACGATATCCATCCAGCGCCGTTGCTCAAAGACGATCTCCATCCAGCGGTTCTTGCCTCAATATTCATCAGTATTTTTGCACCTGGTTCTTTATGTTCCTGCTGTCGCTCGTTGATGCCTGCTGCCTTGTACTTGTGATGGCTAGCTTGCGGGCGTGTGTGGCAGATTGCTGTCATCTTCTGTGGCATTTTTTCTGTGTCTGCTCGTATGCATGCTGTCTTTCTCCGCGCCTTCGCCACCTTCTCGCTTGAGTTCCCCCGTTCTTTCCCAAATACAAAACGAAAGGAAAGATAACATGCACAGCCACCACAGAAATAAACCAACTTAAAAGCAAGCCAGAGTCAGCCAGAGAAGCCCCAGCGAAAATAAAGCATCCTTTGCAGCGGACTTGCGTTCTCCTTGCCATACGCCGTTCAGCAAGAATATCAGACAACACAATGTAGAGCACCATCATCAGACACCATCCATCAGCATCCAACATCTGCCACAGGCCGAGACTGAAGGTGCACGAAGCACAACCATAAATGAAGGCCCACATGCCGCTACACGCAGCACACCCTGGGACTCGCAACTCAGAGGTTTGCCCTTGGCCATTGCGTGCAGAATGAGCTCCACAAGGACAGATAACATCTGTCTTTTTACTTTTAATGCTGTGCTTGTTCGCAAGAGGTTTTGTCATTTTCTTGATTTTGGCTTGTATTTCTTTTCCATTTTTGATGCTGTTCAATGCTTTTCGGTTAGTGGCTGCTCATTTTCATACATGTTCCGTCAGTTCTTGACCTGTGTGTGAATTTTTCTGTTGTCGCTCAGGCGTTCCTTGCACTGTTTTTCATGAAGACAAGAGTGCGCACATGTGAGGCGCGGTTGCTTTCATCTCAGAGGGCTTGTTTCCTCATGCGCTGCCGTGCATGCAGCGTTTCAGCGCCGTCCTTCACGCCTCTGC